CTGAGTAGTCATTTTAAATGCTCACTGATTGCTTTATACTCATGTCCTTAAAACTGTTAGAAATCTGGGCACTCAATTATAGTGTAAGATTTATTGTCTTAGTCTAATTGATCATTATTGAATATTGATGATCGATCCTTGTTTTGTGGGCCTCGTGCCAAACTAGACAGCTTGGTTAAATAATAACAACTGGCGAAAATTTACGCTTTTCGAAGTTGTTTATGAGTATATTTCACGCAGTGTTTTATCTCCATTTTATCTTCTGAAAGGTTCTAGAATGTTTTTAAAATAACAGTAGCAACGGACAAAAGAGAATAAGCAAACAAATACCGTAAACTGTAAATACATATTTTTTAATATTTTATTTTTTTATCCCGTGACCAGAGTAGAAGTGGTGTTTCTTGGGCAGCCAGAGTAGAAGTGGTGTTTCTTGGGCAGGCCCGTTTTTCAGAGTTTTTCTTTCTCCTAGAACTCCGTCTGTCATGCTAATTAGCAGGACAGACTATAACAGCTGGGAAAAGAGGATTCATACCTTTCCCTAGGGTATTAGCACGTAAGTGAATGTAATAGATTCGAGTGGAATTCGAACTCGGCTCTCCGATTCCTCAAATCGACTCGCTATCCACTGTGCCTGCCCAAATATGTATTTGCAATTCTTTTCTTTTAGTCTTCTAAACTTTTGTAATTCGAAGTGAACGACTCGATGACCAAGCTAAGAATAATTAATTATGTAAAAATATGAAGCTACTCTCCTTGAAGATTTTCCTCTTCTCCATTGATTTGGGTCTTTGGTCCATTCGGAGGTTTTTTTCGCAGCCCTGTAAGACTGGATTAACCCCCACACCCGCCCAAAAAAAAACAACAAAAGTGTACGTATTTGGAAAAGCCTAAAAAAAGTAAGAACAATATCCACTACTGACTGAATGAGATTCTCCTCTCCCCAAGGACCTTAATGTTTGCAAAAAAAAAAAAAAAAAATATATAGTAAAAGAAAAGAAAAAAAAATGACACGTTGCAAGCTCCTGAAAAAAAGCTTTCATGGCCACAATCCTAGGTCAAGAAGTTAACCTCACTTTTTGTTTGATCATCTTTTTTTTTTTTCTTTTTTTTTTTTTATTTATACTCTTGGGACTTTATACGCAAATTGTATTTTTAAGGACACACACACATGCACGCACGCACGTACGCACTCTCTCTCTCTCGCGCGCGCGCACGCGCACACATACACACAAACAAACTGACCACTGCTGTTAAATCAAGGCAACGCTCTGACTAAGGTTATGTTTGTACATCGAAAAAAACTGACAAGTTTTATTTGCTGTTGTTGTTATTTAGTATTATTATTATTCAGAGCAAGAGGAAGTTTGCAAAAAGTATTTTGGTTGTGATAGGTGTCTCTTCCTATTTTTATCTTAGACTTTGACTTAGGCAACATTAGGTCAAAAGGATATCGTGAGACCGTAAAAAAAGAGCGGCTTTCTAAACATGACAATTTCTTTTTTTTTTTTTTTTTTTTTTTGCCTTTTCACTGTTGGAAGTGTAATGAGAGGGTAGTGGTTGCAAGACACACATTAAACTGATATTAAAATCTCAAGAAATAAAAAGAATAGTCTTATTTCTTTTAACATGGTGATTGGTTAGTTGAGTCTGGCTTTTGCACAGATGGTAAAATTAACGTTTTTGTAGAGCATAATGTTTTTATTAGTTATAAGGACGAGTCCTAGGAGAATTTAAATCATCAAATCTTTTTTGTCAAACAAGTCCCCTAGTTACTGAAAATCTTCACTGAATCGTAAAATAAAAAGTGCAATAGAACTAAAAACATTATTTAATTAGAAAAGCTTTCCTTTTATAAATAAAGATATATTACGGGCACTATTGTATCAAGAAAAAATATTTTTCCGATGAATAATGAATTTGCACAAGAATTGTTTTCATTTTTCTAAATTTTAATTATAATGATTTATAAAGTTTTAGATCTTTTAAAATTCCGTATGAATTTGTAGCAACTAGGTTTTATCGTTTTTAAGTAAAAACTATATTTACTGATCATAAATGGAAGCGCTTACTACAATTCAGCGACACCCAGTATTTTAAAAGAAATTTTGAATTTGTGTGTGTGTTTGTGTAAACCTGCAGGACACTATCAGAAAATAAAAGCAGTAACTATAGTAAATTTAAAATTCATAACATTTTCTATCATTTCCCCAACTAGTGTCTTCATAAGAATATAAAGCCAAAGTACCTAAAATTTAAGAAAATATTAGATTACTTAGAGTATTTTTCTAATTTTTAAAGATTACTGGGTAGTTAAAAAAAAATCATATAAAAATGACCTTTGCCTTGTATTCGTTCAGTAATTTTGACAGTTACGTGCCTTTTACTTAAAAATCACCGGGTTATCAATAAATGTTTCATTTTGATCATGCATTTTTAAGCCTTATGTATCGCTTTTTATTGGAGGTGCGTACATTTAACTGTTTGTGTTGATTAGCTTTCTTGTTTTTATGCAAGGGAGGTAATGCTAAAGTGACCGATATTAATTTACCAAACAAAAAACATCTGAATGATAAATATAAGGCAATAAATTTTACAATTGTATTTAGAAAATATTAAAACTAAAATAGGAAAATTTAAAATATTGAAGTGGCAATAATATTCAAATTTTATGATAGGGACAACAACAACAATAATAATAATAATAATATAATCGAAATCTAAAAAAATTGGCACATGAGGACAATAATAATTCCAGCTGTAATTGGAACCCTCCGGTTGATTGGGAAAGATTCCGATAGACTCACTGAAGCGATTCCTGGTAGCCCATGCCTTAAAGAAATACAAAAAATTGTTCTCACAAGTACAGCACACACCTTACGAAGGGCTTTATCTATGGAAAATACGTGTGATTTTTTTTCAAAACTGCACATGCCATTTTTGACATAAGAACCCGGAAAGAAATGAGTACACACCAGAAATCAAAGGAAATAATAATAATAATAATAATAATAATAATAATAAATGAAATTACAAAACAAATATGGGAAGACAAGGCGTTGCATAGCAACTATCTAAAAAGAACGAAAGCAGCAGATTTGGACTAACAGAAAACATATCAGTGGCTGAGGAGCTCCGGGTTGAAAACTGAGTCAGAAGCTCAGGACCAAAGTCTCGCAACCAGGTCCTATCACTATCACAGAATCAAGGAAGCGGGTTCAAGGCCTGTCTACCACCCCGGACGAAACCCTGCCCTTCGACAAAGCATCGTCCGGGTTTCTCTCTGCTCAAGGCAGAGAGTTCGACAGTACGAACAGTCTGGTCGACTGTTATATTTAACAGCCCCCCCCCCCCAACGAGGGATGTATGTGGCATAAGGCTGTGTTTACCGTGGGTTTTCCGAGCCCGTAGACTCGGCCAAAAATATTTCCTTAGAACCCGCCTAAACGGGTTCAGGGCCTGTCTACAACCCCAGACGAAAGGAATTCTCTCCTACTAATCTTATAGTAGGCGGAAGAGTCCAACATAGACTCTTTAGATGGAGAACACCACAACATAATAATAACTAGGTATAAAGTATTTAACAGACATTTATTATTACATATTTTACTACTACTGAAAAATGTATTAGTGCAAAGCATAGAAACTATGATAATACTAATAAAAACCTACAATAACAATGTTTAGTACAATTTCTTTATTTATGTGAATCGCCATGACTTCTTCGGAAAGATAGTGAAGCGATTTCCATTGCCTTTTGCTTGGTTTTGAATTGAGTGTTACTAACAGAAGATTAGATAAGAAGTACAATACTAATAAGAAATTACGGAAAATTTAATTACTTCGGTCAACAATAATGATATTTGTCATTCTGTCGTATAAAATTTAGGTGACAATGGCTTTCTGCAGTTTCTTTTTCTTTTTTCTTTTTTTTTTTCATTATCTGTAACTTGCTATGATTTCATGTGAAAGATAGTATAACAGTTTCTCGTTGCTTTCTCCGTTTTGTTTTTGTTTATGTTTTTAGTTTCTTTTTAAATCAGAGTCGTAATTAACATAAACTAGGACTAGAGGGACCAGTCTACTATTTACCAAATAGCTGGAGACTTCCTTTTTTTATTTCTTTTTTTTTTTTTTCTCTTTTTGTCTCTCTATTTACGTCACCCATTTCTACCAATGTTGAATTCAATAGATAACATTAAATTTTTATTCTGAAGAAGCATGACGTCCCTTTTACAAGGATTAACTGAGAATAAAAGAAGTCAAAATTTATTGAAACAAAACAAGTTCAGTTGACCATTGATGATAGTTCCAGAACACCGTAACTATAAACAATTTTTTCTATCCTCTGCCAGCCGCAATGATGAAGAAAGCATTACCTCGAACCATCGCCAGTGAGACACGCTGCAAGAGCCACTCCGTTTCGAGACGCAATCGCGCCAATTCTCCGAAGGAACGCCATCGAACGAGGGCCAATAACCACTGCACCACAGGAGTAAAAAAAAAAAAAATCTATCAGCAAGAGAAGAATATTTAACTATTTTTTCATCACTGCGTCCCGGGCGACGGATCCTGGCTCAACCGCGGACCTGATCAAATTACCGGCCGAAAATATATCCGCACAGTTCGCATCCCAATCAACGACTTCCCCATTTTAAAAGGGAAAATGGTAATGCCATCCGGTCGCTTTCCATCACCGTGGTTCGATTTGGGAAGGGAACCCAGCTGCATCCAAACCTCTTTTGATGATGTCATTAATGGCTGCATGCCGTGGAAAGCGGCCGGCACTACGACGACAGGAGAGAGGATGCAAACCAAACTCATCGGTGGAGGCTCCACATCTGCATCTGTGACGCTCACACAATTTGAGTCCAAGACGGATCACGACTCCGACCCGAGTGCACTCATCATCTAGAAGGGTACTGGTAGATGAAGAGGGCACTGCGTTGAGCCAGGCGTCATTACTCGGTTATGAAGCAGATAGTAAACAGGCGAGGTGATACTGATCCAGAGAGAGCCTCAAATTAGTAAAATTGGCCTCGCATTTTATTTTATCCCAGCATTTTTGTTTTGATGTGTCTAGCGGGATAGAAAGTAATTCTTGGGCGCAGACGCTGCAAGCTTGTTCGAAAGAACTACCCGAGAAACACTGAGACGATCCACCGAGTATCTCATCAGTTAGTTCGTGACTGGACGAAAGTGAAGAAAGATATGCTGGAAGGGCCAAATCTACCGCTGATCGAAGGCCCAGGCCTCCGAAACTCAAAGGGAGCTTTGCCTGCCTCCAGCCTGTGTCGTCGAAATTGACGTTGCAAATTAGCACATCTCTTAACTGTGATATCTATCTCATTTAAGAAATCCTGTTCGAGGTAGCAAGGAGCACTTCGGAGAGTGTAGAAGAAACTCGGTAGCGAAAAACTGTTCTTCAAGAGGAAGAGGGCTGGGTGTGCATCAATTAATTGCAATTCCTCAGTCATTCTTGTTAGAATGACATGCTTAGTATCCAAACACTCTCGAATGGCCATTGGAAAGACTAGAGAACCAAGAATATGTAATTCCTCCTTAGGTGTTATTTTTATATCCTCAAGGCTGAGTCTGATATTCCGAATAGCACTCTCGAAATAATCTGCACTATAATTCAAGTATATTATCTCTGACTTGGACGAGTTAATCTCAAGTCCAAGCAGAGATAAAGCAGGAATAACTTGTCGGAGGTCAGCAGCTACGGCCTCGATGGATCCTCCCAACGTTGCATCGTCAAGATACCATATATTGAAAGGAGAAGCGATAGAACGAGCTACCCCGTCAATAGCCATCGCAAATAGTAGCGGACCAAGTGGATCACCTTGCTGGATTTCAGTAGCAGAAGGAATAGTAATATCGGAGGCGATCAACATACTTGGATGACTATTCTATCTTGCTAAAGTAACTATAAACAATTTATTTTTTTTTTTTTTCTATCCTCTGCCAGTCGCAATGATGGAGAAAGCCTTACCTCGAACCATCGAGACAACGCTGCAAGAGCCACTCTGTTTCGCGAGGCTCGTCCATTAATCGAGACGCAATCGCGCCAATCCTCTTTTATTTTTAAATTTCAGTTTAATTCAGAGAATAGACGTTTAGACTCTCCACACTTTTCTTTTCATTATTATCTGTGAATTGCTGTGCTTCTTGAAAAATATGATGAAGTTGTTTAACGTTGTCTTCTCTACGGATTTGAATTTTTCTTCTCTCTAACTGCTTGCAAACCTAAGGTTAGAGACTCGGTTTACTCTGCTATTTAACCCATAAATGGAGGAGAAGAGTTAGGTTCATGCCTTTTCCAAGTTGAGAATACAACGTGCAAACACTCTGTTTGCTTATGACTAACAAATAATTTTTTTCTCTGTCGGTGTAAAAAGTTAAACCTGACCAAATAAAAATAATCAAAAATATATATATATATTAAAGTAATAGTCATTCGAACTTAAAACGGAATGAGATATATAGATTAAAGGGATTAATGGCTTTCAAAATGGCCCATTGTGAAACAAAAAAGAAAACCATAGCCATTTTGTATTTTTTCAATCATCTGACAACCTAACAAATAATGTCATATATATAAACATATGTCATTCCTTTTTAATGGATTTCTTATTCGACATTATTTCCTATTTTACGTTATTTTTTTACGTACACATTTTTGAGTTAATATTCCTCATTTTTTTTTCTTAAATGGTGAACTAAATAACAACCGACCTACACTGAGAAATCCTACTAAAATAAAACTGTGTCTTCGACAAGAATCGAACCTACATCACCTTAAGATTGGTTGGTTGATTGTTTTGCGGCATATCAATCTCTATCAGTTGTTTAATGCTGAAATTTAAATATTTTGTACGCAATTTTATTTTTTTGAGATAATGTTTTAGTAAAACCAGGTTTACTAATTAACCCCTAGATAGGGGAAGAAGGGATGGATTCATACCTTCCCAAGGGTATTTGCGTGTAAATGATTATAACAGACCCAAATGGAACTGGAACTGGAACCAGCCCTCCGACTAATAATTCCGAGCCAATATCCATTATACCAAGCGGTCAGCTATGTAGGTTGCTTAACTTCGGTGAACGTATGGGAATCGTTGTTTCGGCGTGATGTGGCCGTAAGTCATTTTCTCTCAGCGAAACCACTTCTATGGCCGAAAAGTGTCTTTATATTCATTTCCTGAAAATTATGAATAAATCTTTTTACTGTCTTTTCAATTTTTATATCGACTGAAATTAAAAACAATTTCACAAATTACGGAATTATTAAAGTTCAAATTTTATGACTGTATATACACTAAGCTGGTGGTATGAGAGCTAGGGAAGACCAGTTTTTTTTTTTTTTTTTTTTTGAACGATGCATGTTATGTTATCTTTTGGAAAAGCCAATCTAATAGCAATTTCCTAAAATACGTAGCTAGCTAGTTGTTACTTAGACATATTTTTCTATGGCATATGTTTACTAAATGAAAAAAAATCATATAAAGTCCGTATGAATATACCTATGTATATAAACACATATATTACCTTTTTTGTCAGATTTTCTATTATCACAGTGTAGGATATTTAATAACAAAAGTGATAAAAACATAAACAAAAAGAAGTCTAGTGAATTCGGCTAGACTATGTACCCATAAACATATTATATATATATGTGTGTGTGTGTGTGTGTGTGTGTGTGTGTGTGTGTGTGTGTGTGTGTGTGTGTGTGTGTGTGTGTGTGTGAAAAATATATAGAAAATAGGAAAGAACAAAACATTTCGCTTGAAGATGGAACAGAGCTTAGTACTTTAATTCAATTTAATTCAAATAATTATAAGTTTTCGGCTCTTGTTTTGAAACATGAGAACTCTTATGTAGCGTGTTGGAATCATATTTTTAAATAAATAATTATATATATATGTGTGTGTGTGTGTGTGTGTGTGTGTGTGTGTGTGTGTGTGTGTTATGAAAGTCTATGATAAAGCGGAAATGATTTTTTCTGTGACGTGTTTCGTCATTTAGGACTTCATCGCACGAAAGTAATGTTTACGTTAATTTGATTACACATGCGCAGGAAAAGAGTGAACGCTGAAATTTAAAACAGTTGAATTTTAAATTTTCTTTTTTTACTGTACCTCTCCTTCGTGCGCATGTGTATTCACATCAACGTAAACATTTTTCCACTTTGTCAGATTTTACAAAATACACTCAAAGTAAAAATGCTAGCTACCAATATACTATGAATTATACAACTCAACTTATATCAAATTTTGCAGAACCTCTGTTAATGAAATGGTAAATTTAACATCTGGGTAATAATTATTAGGAAAATATAAGTAAAAACTTTCAGTACATATTTATGGTCAACACAGTGTTTCCCAATATTTTAACCACTCATCGGGTCCATCGATAAATATATATATATATATATATATATATATATATAAATTAATTGATTTAAAATATGTTTATTTTCGCTACATGTTTCAAAAAAATTTTTGAAACATTTTTAGATGGTTGTAGCGAAAAAAACATATTTTAAATCAATTAATTTATAATATTAATGCTCTGTAAATTTACATTGAGCACTATTTTGTAAAAAATAAAATATCTATAAGAACACCGGATTATATATCTTACGGTTCTTTCTTTTATTTATACACACACACACACACACACACACACACACACATATATATATATATATATATATATATATATATATAAATATTTCACCTCAAGCTAAGCAGAAGTGTCACTAGTACGCAGAAGGGTTCGAGAGAGTGAAAGTGAGAGAAACTATTTCAACAGTAAAAGGGGCGGGACCTAAATGCCATAGATAGATAGATAGATAGATAGATAGATAGATAGATAGATAGATAGATATGAACATGCTGAGATAGATAGATAGATAGATAGATAGATAGATAGGTAGATAGATAGATAGATAGATAGATGTGTGTGTGTGTGTGTGCAGTAAATACGTATTGATATCATTCACAAATATGTGTATGTGTGCAAACGTAGGCTTTTGCTGCATTTATGATGTTTACAAGTGTATATGAAAAATGTACGTATTCGTGTAGGTAAAATCGTTATATATATGTGTGTATACATACATATATATATATATATATATATATATATATATATATATATATATATATATTTGTACGTTTTAAATAAGTTTCTGTGCAATTTAGCCGGCTAAATTCTTTTCTAAGCCTATATTACTGTCTATGTTTTATAATTTTTGTATGAATATATTTAATATATCAATAAATATTCGGAAATGGATGTATACGTACAGATGTAATTTAGAATAATTCATAGCATTTCTTTATACGTAAGCATAAAACAGGCGGTTATACATATGTAAATACTTGTATACACCGACACGTATTTATAACTGCGTGTGTAAAATGTAAGATATACATGTTGGTATATCTATGTTCGTTTTTAAATGTAAGTTTCGTTCACGTATTTACTAATGCATATATGAATGGAATGAACATACATTGGATACTCTCGTAGAAACATTCATCCCGAGATACGTACACATTAAAAATGGTCCGTGTTATGGAGACATGCGTTGGAAAATATCACCAATCTAATGTTGCATACATGTCGATAGATAAGTACCTCGCTTCTGCTGTCTCCAGTCATGATGCTATCAGCTAATAACCTCACTTCATCTTCCCGCACACAAAATATATCTCCCTCACATGAACGCTACAATTACAGCGTTTCGATTATTCATTTCTCCCTGATTTTTTTTTTTTGTTTTTTTTTTCCATTTATTTTATTTCGAATATATTTTTCCCTGGAATTTTGACATAAGCTGAAGAATCTGCGTCTCGTTTCTTGAAATCACCACCCCCACACCGAGAAATTTTGCAATCGATGGATTAAATGTAAAATTAACAACGCTATCATGATGAAGGCTCTCGGGCATACACGTTGGGCGGCAGTTAAGAACGTTAACACTGTACATTTAGGTATATCGATATAAAAGTTCGTCCTGCATATTATTAGTTGTAGTAGTGTTAGTAATAATGGAGATGTTGTTGCTTAGTAACAAGTAAAATGGTTGCTGTAATTGAATTATTTTATCTTTGCTTTGTGTAGTACGAGCTGCCTCCAAGTCTAGGCCAAAGACTTTAAGCGACATGATTTTGTATCAGCAGATGCAAACAGTTGAGGTGTCATGCAATCGGGCAGAAAAAAAAATGTAATTGTGGTGACTGTACGTTGCAGAAGGATCTTTATGATTTTTGGAAATTCAAATATTTTAGGACTTCTAGAAATTCGATACCAAATCACCAATAACAATAGGTAAAGTTGTCTTGAGATACCATATTCTACAGAATTCTATCTCAAGGTCCTTGTATTTATTTTGTTTTTCAAATGTTTTCAAAGATTTTTTTCGTTTGAGCCAACAACATTTAACAGGAATCATGCCTTTTCACCATGACTTTTTTCAATTATTATTATTATTTTTATTTTCTTTGATTTCTGGCGTTTACACATTTCTTTCCGGGTCCCGCCCAAGGACCTAAGGTTAGGAATGGCATCATGACACTTTCCACTGACAAAAAAAAAAAAAAAAAATTACATAGATAAAGCCCTTCGTAAGGTGTGGGCTGTACTTGTCAGAACAATTTTTTGTATCTTCTTGAGGCATGGACTTCCAGGAATCCCTTCAATTAGTCTACTGCAATCTTTTCCAACCAGTCCTAGGGCTCCAACTACAACAGGTATTGTTGATGTTCCCGTATGCCACATTTTCGAGATTTCTATTTCAAGGTCCTTGTATTTTGACAACTTTTTGAATATCTTCAAAGATACATTGCAGTCAGCAGGACCTGCCATATCAATAAGGAGGCACCGTTTTTGTTTGTGGTCATTAATAACAATATCTGGTCGATTGGCCTTGATTGTTCTGTCAGTGTGTATTGTGTAGTCCCATAGAATTGTAACAGGTCCTATCTCCGTAACCGGGTCTGGATGGTGTTCATACCAGTTTCTTTCAGTTTCCTTCCCGTAGAAGTTGCAGATTTTCCAGTGCAGATATTGGCCCACTCTGTCATGTCGGGTTTTATATTCAGTGGGTGCCAACACCGTGCAACCTGATACAAGATGATCAATCGTTTCTGGATACTTATCACAGAATCTGCATTTTGGGCTGACACAATATTTTATTATATGTGCTTGATAATTCCTAGTTAGCAAGCATTGGTCCTGCGCAGCAAGGATAAAACCTTCAGTTTCGCTTTCAACCCTGCACTACGTAGCCACTGATGGGTACGGGTTTTGTCTACGTCAGCTTGTTTGGTACGGGCAGAGTATTGGCCATGAAGCGGTTTATCTTGCCATCGCTTCTGTATCTGGTCGGTTGCATTCGTCTTTGCTGTCTTTTTTTAGGTATTTTGCAGTTTCAGCCGGTGTATTGTGCTGTAGTTGTATCTCTACGCCCATTTGAAACTCCATTTTGAATTTGTTGGCTTCTTTCATTACGGAATAAAGACGCTTACTACTTTCATGTTCCTTGACGCATACCATAATCCAGTCTTCTGTAGTTTCCAAATATCTTTGGAGGCCAATTGTTGTAGTTTTATTATTATTATTATTATTATTATTATTATTATTATTATTATTATTTGTGTATGCTATTCTTCCTGCTTTGTATTGTGTAGAGCCGTGTCCAAACTATGGTCCTTAGGAGAACTGTCATTTAATTGATAGCACTTTTATTATGTTACTAGTAGGTTGATCTTCTGGGCAACTTGTGTGTTGATGTTACCTGGGACACTATTAGTAAAATTATCCATTCATTTTTTCACGAGGGCTAGAACTCCGATTAATATTGGTACAGTCTCAGTCTTCATTCGCCACATTCTGTTCATCTCTCGATCTCCAGATCCTTGTATTCGGGCAATTTCTATGTCAATAAGCAAACACTTCCCGAATTTCTTGTCTTTTATGATAATATCAGATCTGTTGGCTTTTATTTCCCTGTCAGTTTTAATTGGCATATCCCAGGGGGTAGTTACATCGTTATTTTGGGTAACAGTGTCTGGTTGGTGCTTTTAACATCACTCAGTCGTTTCGATTTTGTTTTTTGATTTTTGTCTTGCATATCTTCCAATACACATGTGTCGCTACCTTGTTATGTCTGTGGGTATGTTCATTTTTGCTAGTTCCGGATATCCTGAGATAATATACTGGACTGTTTCATCATAATTTCTGAAAATCCTGTATTTCGGGTTAGTTCAATTCTTGATTATGTGACAATGATAGGATATGGTTGTGAGGCTTTGGTCTTGGGCTGCAATTATGAGGCCTTCTGTCCCAGCTTTCAACCCAGTGTTCCTCAGCCACTGACATCAGTTTTCTGTTTGTTCACATCTGCTTCTTTCCTTTTAAGTATTTGCCATACAATGCCTTGTCCTTCCAGTTTTTTTCTGCAATTTCATATGGCCAAGTTGTTTTGCTTTCTGTTTTACTCATTTGGGCGTAGATGGTATTCGTTTCATTTGGCCAAGTTGTTTTGCTTTCTGTTTTACTCATTTGGGCGTAGATGGTATTCGTTTCATTTGGCCAAGTTGTTTTGCTTTCTGTTTTACTCGTTTTGCGTAGATGGTATTCGCTTCTTTTTTTGTTGGTAGAGTTTCAGGTATATTAAGCTGTTGCATGAAGAGTGCAGCTTCTTTTTGATGGAGTGATTTGACGTTTTACTATAAGTAGGAAAAGGTCATTAGATTTTGTGAGGTAGGCTTCCAATCCGATTGTTGTAATTTTTAGAGTTAGTTCAAGTTGGATGAGACTTCGGACTCCTAAAGCTCTTGATACATACATCCTATCAACATCTGATTTCGGGTGGTTTATCCTCGTCTGGGTAAGCAATTTTTTGATCTCGGCGTCCAAACTATTAATGTCATTCAACTTCTATTTAATAATGTTGATGCTGTATGTTACTACGGGTATAGCAAAGGTGTTAATAGCCTTCATTTTGTTGGCCCCATTAAGTTCGCTTTCTAGTATCAAACGCACTCTCCTATAATATTCCTTCCGAATCTTTTTTCTTTATAATTGGATGTTGTATTATATCTCCTTTATTAATTCCTAAATATTTCTATGTACCATTTTGGTCTAGTTTCTTAATCTTTTTGTTGATATCAAGGTCTAAATCCATAGTTTTCGTTAGTTAACTGACTTTGAATCTGGCTTTGGTACATTTGTCGATTCCGAACTCATCGCTGACGGTTTTAACAATGGTGAGTAGGTTTTTCTGCTGGTTGTCATCCTTGGCAAACGTTTTAAGATCATCAATATAGAATAAGTAATTCATTTTGCCATTCTGTGACTTGTATCCGTAGCTATTGTTGTTCAGTAGACAGCCGAGTGGCGCTAATGCAAGGCAGAAGTGTAATGGTGACAATGAATCTTATTGGAAGATCTCGCCCTTGATACTGATTGGTCTCGATTTTAATGAACAGTTTGTATGGTTTAGGTTTAGCGGAGTTTTTCATATTCTCCGTTATGAATTTGACCGTTGTGGGGGCATACTCTGTATATTTTTAGGTTCTACTCTATTCATGAGCGTGGTACAGCTATTATCATTATTATTATTGTTATTAATATTATTATTATTATTTCTAAATAGGCTAGCTCTCTACTCGTAAATAATAATTCTATTACTTACGTATTAATCCACACTTCCACCCGAGAACCGCGCTTTCAAACTGGGACCAAAGCGTCGCACCACGGCCTAGGAACAATGGAGTATCAGTGTGGTCATTGATTTTTTTTTTTTTTTTTTTACATTAATGATCATCCTGTTCAAGGTTCGAGAACAGCTCGAGATAAAAGGTTACAGAGTAAGAGCCATAGTTTATAAGATTATATGGGGAAGATAACGGTTAAACCTAAACTTGAACAGATTAAGATTATGGTGGATATTGAAGCATCCTCTTAGGAGTCGATTCCACAAAGTAGCGGTTCGTGTTTCGAATACTCACTCACTCACACACATACACACACACACATTCTTATTATATGTATTTATATATATATATATATATATATATAAATAGATATAGATATATATCTATATATATATATATATATATATATATATATATATAAGGCAGATTATATAGCTTTTATATATAAAACAATTACAGCGAGCAACTAATGTATTTAGAGTTCAGAAGTATGATGCTTTTTTTACTCTAGTGGCATCAGCCGTGTTATGGCTTCTTAACCACATTCGGTCAGGGCTTACATTATAATCAATAATTTATGTTGAAGCCATTTTTCAGCATTTGAACTTTTCATAATGCATGTAAACGATTTGTTACAATTAACTGATTGTATAAGCAAGAAAAAAAGCTTAGTAAAATTTCAACAACACTTCTAAGATTTCTCTATTATTGTACAAATGGAAAATGTTGCCACAACCTATTATTATTAAAGATAATACCTCTATGGTGCATGGAAAACAAATTTGTGACAGACAGATTCTATTGTGTGTGTGTGTGCCCGTATATATATATATATATATATATATATATATATATACGGGCACACACACATATATATACAGAGAGAGAGAGAGAGAGAGTATAGTATAGTATAGTATATAGATTATATATGTAGATGAAATTCTCATTTTAGTCAAAAACATAGACGAAATATATGAACTACAAAAAATCACCGTGCTTAATTTCACATACGAACTTAACAACGACAATAAGATCCTGTTTCTTGATGCATTGATAGACACTAGTAATAATACATTTACTTCCCCTCCATATAAAAAAAACAACTAGAATAAACACGCGCACTCTCAAGTAAAGTGAATGCCCTAACTATAATAAAATATCTATTAATAATACGAAACTTAATAAACCGTGAAAAATCAAAATCTTCAACAAGGAAGATTTTTATGCTGAATTAAAAAAGATTAAACAACCCCTCATTAATAATGACTTTCCTAATTACATCGTTGATGAACAAATTAAACGAGTTACTGTGAATATTAACATAATAAATGAACATAATACGTCCTCAAATAACTCTAAACATCAAACTACTATACCGTAATCAAATGCATTTTAACTATAAGTCGGAGGAACTAAAAAGATTCATAAACACTAATATATCTCCCATTGTTACAAGAGAAAAATAAAATTAATTATATACTATACTAAATTCAATACAATCAACCTAGTCATCCTTAACAACTCTTCTCCATCAACATGCGTCTTACAAAAGACCAACGTCGTATATCAATTTAAATGTCCTTTGGGATATTGCATCTCTGATAAAAATGTTAATACGTATGTTGGTTTTACAACGACGACGATGACCGGAAGGCTTATGTTTCACTTGAACTATCATAGTTCATACCCAGAACATTTAAAGGAACAATCATATCCACATTCACAGTTTAGACAGATATTAGTCGAAAATACATCAGTGATCCACCAAGAAAATAATAAGCAAAACTTAAAATTCTGGAAGCTCTTTGCATAAAAGAAAATTTATAAAAGTCAACTACAAGTATAGCAACAAAGTTCTTAAATGTTTGTAGCAGCAAAATGTTATAAAAGTACTAAATTAAAATACTACAATTAAAAAAACTTTTTAAAAAAATACATGTTCCCTCCCTTGCATAGAAGTAAAAAAAAAAAAATGTTTTCTATTGTGTTAACACATAACACGTACATAGATATGCAAACCCTGAAGATAGTCTCAAATGAGATTGAAAGTACTTGGGAAAATAAAAATTATTTGAACGAAAATTTTTGAATTTTTTTTAATCAATTTTCTACAGCCACCAAGAAATTAATTTGTGGACTTGAAAGGATTAAAACTAAAATAAACACATAATACATCTAAATTAATATATATATATATATATATATATATATATATATATATATATATGTGTGTGTGTGTGTGTGTGTGTGTGTGTGTGTGTGTGTGTGTGTGTGTACGTTTCATTATGTAATTTGACCAAGTTTTCAAGTTACGTTTAACCTAGAATCATATAGTGATTTTTTCTCTTTTTTAATTGTTAGTTTGATTTTTCTGCAGTAATATTTCCAGAACGAAATATAACTGTAATTAGCAAAATTATTAACAGTACTTTTAATTAAAACACGTTTGTATCTTAACAAAAATCACAGAACTCACATTCTATAAGCATTAAGAACAGTAATCGCACGAACGTGTCTTATTTTTATGCTAATCCACCACGCTTTTATTAAATGCATAAAAAGGAAGATTTCTCTTGCAGTATTTTTTTTTAACTCTGCAATTTATTTAGAGTCTTAGATTTATGAGTGTAGAGCTAAATATTACTCGCAGGAACATAATAATTTCCTTTCTTCGGCCTTCTTCATATGTGCTATCCGTATAGATTAAACTTCGTATCAATGTTGAGATCGCGGAGGAGGGCGGTGGTGTCCATAGCTGGGACTTCTTGTTCATATATACATCATTGCTCAACGGGAACATGGTATTGAATTTTTTATCTAACAAAGAAATTGTGAACTTCTCTGTGTATAAATTATGGAACTAACTGTTCTGCATACGCTGCTAAAAATTAAATAACTTATAAGCTGTTACTATCTGGTACATTATTCATAATATTAAGAGCATCTCAGGATGAGGTAATGGTTAACAAGTATTGTCTGTTTGAGTATTACTACTGAGTTGTGTGTTCCATCTTCACTGGATTTCCTCTACTTGTGCCAAACTAAGCAAAACTTATTAAATAATAAATTGACTCTTTGCGGTATAATGGTCAGCAAACTTAACTTGGAAATCATTACCAATAAGATTTATTATCATCGGTTGCTCACATTTATGGTCTTATGTCAAACTAAACTAAGGAGAGTACATAATAATAAAGGTACATGTGTATTACCATTTAATATTATTAGTAGCAATCATTTGCTGTTATAAAACTTAGTAGTTATAAAATTTCATAGTTATACAAAATCATGACAGTTAAAGTAATGCAGTTTCTTTACTCGATATGATCGTTATAATCATTATAAGAATTATTTCTTATATTGTTAATTATTTACTGACTTCTTCAAAATTATTACTAATATTAGTACCTTAAACATGTATTTTATTAGTGGTGATTATTGAAAATTTACTGTTGAAAAACTATTTAAATGGTAGAAATTGTCAAAACTACTGTTAAGAATAGAAGGATTAACATTGGAAATCGTATTACTGGCAGTAAAGGTATTAGTAATGAATATAGTAGCCACTCCAAAGGCTAAATCAGAAAATTAACCAATTATAGCAAATTGTTAAAATAACTATCAGAATAGCGGTAACATTTGTAGATGTATCTACAAACGTGAAACATTTCAGAGAATAATGATATTAATGTTGGAAACAGTAATAAACATTGTCTTCATTTTAGTAAAAAATTAGATTTAATACGAGTATTAAATGAAATTAGTTGCAATGATTATTATTCTTTTTCCCCTCCTCCTTCTTCTTCTTCTTTTTCTTCTTTGTCTTTTTCCCTCCTCCTCCTTTTTTCTTCTTCTCGTTTACCCCTTCTTCTTGTTTCTTTCTTCTTTCTTCCTTCTTTCTTCTTCTTGTTTTACTTCTACTACTTCTCTTTCTTTTTCACCTCGTTTCCTTCTTCTTCCTTCTCTTCTTCATCTCTCTTCTTTCTTATTCTTCCTTCTTTCTCATTCTTGTTTCTTTGTTTTTTTCCCTTCTTTTTTGTTTCTACTCCTTATTTCTTTCTTCTTTTTCCTCCTTCTCTTTTTGTTTGTTTCTCTTTCCCTCCTTCTTTTTTCTTCTTGTTTTCCTTCTCCCCTAATTCTTCTTCTTGTTTCCTTATTTTCGTATTGTTTCCTTCTTCCTCCATTTCTCTTCTTCCATCTTCCACCTCCCATCTTCCATCGTTCTTCTTCTTCTTCTTCTTCTTCTTCTTCTTCTTCTTCTTCTTCTTCTTCTTCTTCTTCCCAATTTCCTGCTCTTTGTATATCTTAGTGACATTTGTCTTTGCTGTCTTTCCTAATATTTGTTCTACCAACCATTTACACAAGCTCATTCTTCTTCCTCTTCTTCTTCCTCTTCTTCTTCTTCTTCTTATTATTATTATTATTATTATTATTATTATTATTATCATCATCATCATGGTTCTTTGTTCCAAGTTTTTCTGGGTGTTGACGATCATAGCTACCCACAACTTTTTGTCTTCTGTTGCTTCTAAGTAATCCTTTTTTTCCACCCTGTTTCACTCTCCATTTATTCAAACACGTTAATTAGCTTATTTGTCATTTCCCTGTTTCCCTTCAACATATCTTGTGCGTGTTAAATTCTCTATACCATCTTTCCTCATTAGTTACAGTATTAATAAAATCATTAAAAGAAGAGGCGAGGATAACAACAACAACAGGGAAATAACTATACCAACAATTTTATCAATTTTATTTATAATAATCAATATTGATGACGATAGCACTTATTTAATTAATAATAGCAATGGATATACATAATAGTTATTGTTACAGTTCCAGACGATCTCACCCATATGATGATAAAGTCTGAAATTGTAATAATAATGATGTTCATAATGACTGCGATAAAAATTATAACAGATTTACGAAGGAATATTGAAAATTTATCGGCCCGATATACAAGAATGATTCAGAGCAATGAACTGTATATTCGAATTAACATATTGACATTGCAGTTCAATACATTCGGAACATTGGGGCACTTCGACGTGATTGATTGATTTGTAAGCTAGTCTCGCTAGATCAAATATGAATAGTGAGTTCGATAGACACTGGGTGCTCGACACTTTCGACCTTGTGCCACATCTAATCTACGCTTAGAAAACCAATAATACATTTGGAATATCATTTCTTTAGTGTCTTTAACTCTTAAATAAGTAAATAAAACACTGTAACGTTTAGTCATTGAAATTCTTATTTTCTGAAGCTTTCGAGCTAAAAACTTGTTAACATCACTTATATGAATAAAGGTAATTGTTGCATGGTTTAGCGTTTAATAATATACGTTTAATAATATATTCTTAATAATATATGTTTAATAATATGTTTAATAATATACGTTTAATAATATATGTTTAATAATATACGTTTAATAATATATGTTTAATAATATAAGTTTAATAATGTACGTTTAATAAAGTACGTTTAATAATATGTTTAATAATATACGTCTAATAATATACGCTTAATAATGTACGTTTAATAATATACGTTTAATAATATACGTGACACTGAACTAGAAATTTATAATCGTTACGTTATTAATATTAAAATTAAAATAACTTTAACTCTCACTCCTCTTAGCATCAATAATCATATAAAGACAGTTGAAATTTCTGAGAAGCATAATATGTGAAGAAGGTATTAAAAAAAAGTGTCTCTCATAAGATATATTAGGGCAAAATGGACAGTGAGTTTGTACTCCAGAGAGGAAGAATAAGGAACAGTAAAAAGGAAAACATTGCCAAGAGCTACGAAGAGCAGAGATTTGTGAAGATCTATGAATGCCGACATCCTAAGGAAGAAAAACAGTAATAGCAACCATGATAGACGTGCTATCAATGTCATTAATAACAGTTATTGAAGTAACAGATGTGGTAGTTATTTTGTTGCCAATGACAGGAAATTGTGGAGAGTCATGGTCGCCCACATTCTGAAGAGACACAACACAAAGAAGAACTTTCGATTTTGATTGGCTCTTTTGATATAATGTTTTTATAAGGTAATAAAGATTTGGATGTCTTTCAAGTCGAAACAGAGTTCGGTTTGATGAGGAACGAAACGTTTCCTGTTGAATTCCATTATTATTTTTTTTTTTTTTTGAAGTTACCAAAATAAAAGAAAGAGAGACAATTATTGTCCATTGTACTGATCATGAAATTACCAGACTCAGAAAAAAACAAACAAAAAAAACAACAACGGAAGCTGTTAGATTAAATAAATTAAAAATGAAACGAAAATGAATAAGATAAAACGAAAATAGAATGCGACATAAAACAACACAATCAGTTCCGGTCTCTTAACCAAAAGGGGCAACTCCAATGATTTACTAAAATTTTTGGCTCTTCACCAAGAGCTTTTTGTTTTCAGTGTAATAAGTTCCTTGGAACCTTTTGTATTTTTTTTTATTATCAGATATGTTACCTTTAATTTTACCATTGTCTGTATTAGATATTGGCTATTCAGTTATTATGGCTTCTAATACCATGGTTTCATCATGGCCTATCTGAGGCTAAGAGTTTAATGTATTGATTTTTCTTACATCAAATGGCCATTATATAGAATCGATTTGCTAAAATCGTTTTGTATATCAGACTAACAAAGTGTTCACAACTAAAATCAAATAACTTTTTCTTTTATGCTCTCAGAATTGAAACTTAAACATTGTTTTGTTTGTTTTTTTTTATAGAAAATAATACATCTGACACTTGCTGAAGTGAAATTATAAAAAGTTTATGAACAGCAACCTGTATTTAGGTAATAGCTTAATATTAATACAAAATGATATACTATTATATATATATGTGTGTGTGCGTGTGTGTGTATACAGATAAAGTTGTATTGCACTAAGCCCACATTTTCTGCAGTGCGCAGGCCGATAAAATGAAAAATAGGCGTCTTTTTAAAACACGGATATTTAATAAAAATAACTTTTGAAGTAGTATATATATATGTGTGTGTGCGTGTTTGCGTGTGTGTATTCTTTTTGCAAACATCATAAGAAGTCGACTGCGAAGAAACTTAAGTAGTTGATTTGTGAGTTTAAAATCGATTTTAATTTCTTGCGATTTTTTCATGTTGTGTATCTCTGAAATTTGATTTATATTCGGTTATACTGAGCATTTCGCTTGGTTTGTGAAATTCTTATGGATATGTGGAGCTGGTCCACACTACTGTTATTACAGTTTATTGACTATATATATATATATACATATATATATATATATATATATATATATATATATAGTCGCCCACATACAGACTGTTTCGCTGTATTACAGGTCCTCAGTGCGGCTAGACGTCCGATTGCTTCAAGCCGGGATCGAAACCCGACTGATTTGGCGTCAGTCAGATATCATACATCGAGGCCACGGTAGAAAAAAAAGGAATTTTAACGTTTTTCACTATACGAAATACGTTAGCGGCTCAATTCAATTTATTTGAAGAGTAATTCTTAATAGAAGTAGGTGTTTTTAACCTCCCTCTCTCCCCCCACTCTCTTCTCTCTCTCTCTCTCTCTCTCTCTCTATATATATATATATATATATATATATATATATATATATATATATATACAAATTGCGCTGCTTAAAATTTGTATATTCATGGAGAAAGATTACTCAATGCTGACATCGAAATCAACACAAAATGTTAAGTGTAAGTTTCATTCAGTGTTCTAGGCCCAAAACTCTCTCTCTCTCTCTCTCTCTATATATATATATATATATATATATATATATATAAAGTGTTTTTTTATATATATATATAATATACATATATAGTTTATATATACGTGTGTGTGTATATATATATATATGAAGAGTTTATATATATATATATATATATATATATATATATTTAAAAGACTTTATATATATATATATATATATATATATATATATATATATATATATATATATATATATGAACTCTTTATATATATATATATATATATATATATATATATATATATATATATAAAGTTTGGACTTAGAACAATAAATAAAGACAAAATCCTCTGATTGACATTCTAAAGTTAACAGTAAGGATTTTTTTAGTAACGTATTTATAAACACAAGTAAAATATTAAACTTTAAGGACGATTAAAAATATTCTTTAAGCTAACTGTAAAAGTCAAGGTGCACTATGGATGATACTGCTTTTGAAGTTTTCAAATCTTCTTAATTTATTTTATCTGTTTATTTATTTTTATATTAATTATTATTTATTAATCTATTTCAATTTGATAAGTTATTTATGTACTTATTTTAAATAATAGCAGGTTTTGATTTATCCGTTTTCTATTAATTTTGTATAGTTTTTGTTCATGTATGCTTGCTTGATAAGTGAGTATTTCTTTTAGGGAAGGAGATATTTTAAAAAGTCAGGAGAGCAAGTTAACATTCAGGTAAGATTCAATAGTGGCCTAAAGTTATTGTTTTGTTTTTATTCTTGTGACATTCTTTACGTCAAAGTTGTGGTTTGAACTTATTTCTATGTATGCCTAATACATTTGATAAATTGTTGTGCATAAGATCCCTTTTGGGTTCATAGATACGATTCTTTTAATTTCTGCATGTTTCCCCAATATAATATAGGGAACAGTTGTGACAGTTTATTTTATATATACCTACTTCCGAATTATTATTTTTATGGACATTTTTCTTCCGATCATATTCATAATAATTTTAGATGTAGTTGTAATTATTCTGATATTGTTAAGTTTGGATAAAACGTTTTGGATAGTAGATGTTAAAAAGTTAGTAGTTAATATTATAAATCTGATCTTCATCAATGACTTTCCCGATGTCATCAGTTCCCAAGTTAGCATCTACACTACTATTTACTCCTGCCTCAATAGTAAATCTGGTGTCGTTGACAAAATTAACCTGGCTGCTGATCTCGAAAAGGACCTCCAATCTGTGGTTGACTGCGGTAGGAAATGCATTGTAAACTTTAATGCCTCCAAAACGAAACTGCTCTCCTTTACCCATCACAGATAACACTCTCTGCCTTCCATGAGAATGGCTGATTCGTAACACCTCTAGAGCGCCTCGTTATGCCTGCTTGGTCTCACGTTGTCCACTGACATGAAGTGGAATAAATACATTGAATCAATAGCTTCATCTACCGCAAGGAATATTGGTTCTTTTTGTCGTGTCAGAAAGTTTTTCTCGTCCGAGTCTATCCTTCAAATCTATAAATTATCTATCCGTTCTTGCATGGGATATTGCTGACATATATGGACTG